AAAAAAAAAAGAGATACCTACTGCCAACTCACTTTTAGGACTCCATATTTATTGATTTGAGCCAATCATGAACTTCCAAGCAGAATTAATCTCTACTTCTTAGAAACTCTTGTACCTCTCTTAAGGCACTGAATAAATTCAACCATTCTTTCTACAGATACTGAATAGCAACACTCTACCTAATCCTAGAGAGGGGAATTTGGAGAAGAATCACAGCATCTGCCCTGCATGGCGTCTTTTCAAACACTGCAAGGAGGCAGGGGAGTTGGCTCACTCAGTAAAATACCTGTTGTACATACAAGCATGAGGACCTGAGTGCAGATCTCCAGAACCCATAAAAAAGCTGTATCTCCAGTAAAAAAGCTGTATCAGTAGCATGTGCCTAGAAACCCAGGCCTAGAGGTCAGAAATGGGCATAGATCTGGTGCTAATCTAAGTGAATGGGTGAGCTTCTGGTTCGATGAGAGACCTGTCTCAAAAACTAAAGGTGGAAGGAGGCGGATCTCTGTGAGTTTGAGGCCAGCCTGGTCTACAGAGTGAGTTCCAGGACAGCCAGAGCTACACAGAGAAACCCTGTCTTAAAAAATCAAAAATAAATAAATAAAAATTATAAAATAAAGGTGGCAGAGTGTGGTGGTGCACACCTTTAATCCAAGCATTTAGGAGGCAGAGGCAGGTGGATCTCTCTGTGTTGCAAGCCAGCCTGGTATACAGAGCAAGTTCTAGGCCAGCCAGGGCTACACAGTGAGAATTTGTGTCAAAAAATACATACAACAGGGGCCAACAAGCTGCAAAGAGCTTGCCAATGCAAGCTTGACAACCTGAATTAAATCCTTGGAATCAAGGCCAGGCAGTGGTGGCGCACACCTTTAATCCCAGCACTTAGGAGGCAGAGGCAGGCGGATCTCTGTGAGTTCAAGAACCTAACTCTACAAAGATAGTTCCAGGACAGCCAGGGCTACAACAGAGAAACACTGTGTCAAAAAACAAAATAATATTGATATAGCTAGGTAGGTGCCATAGGGTTAGAGTCCCAGCATTCAGGAAGCAAAAGCAAATGGATGATGAGTTCAAGACCAGCTTGGCCTACTTAGTAAGAATCTATCTCAATAAAAACAAGTAATGCTAAAAATATCTTCTGGAAAACATCAAGGAATCACAAAGTCCCAGAGGCTGTGCCCGCACAGCAAACAATTCTAGAAGGTTGAGAGATGTGACTTGAATGAGCAAAATAGAAAAAAAATGGTGATAGGAAGCCATATACCTGTATACCCTTTCCCTGAAGCCTTTGGAGAACTCATACGGTACACTTGACTTCTTTTTTGTTTTGGTTTGTTTTTGTTTTTGTTTTTTAAGACAGGGTTTCTCTGTGGCTTTGGAAGCTGTCCTGGAGCTAGCTCTTTTTTTTTTAAAGATTTATTTATTTATTATGTATACAGTGTTCTGTAGGCCTGCAGGTCAGAGAGGGCACAGATCTCATTGCAGAAGGTTGTGAGCCACCATGTGGTTGCTGGGAATTGAACTGAGGACCTCTGGAAGAACAGGCAGTGCTCTTATCCTCTGAGCCATCTCTCCAGCCCCCTGGAACTAGCTCTTGTAGAGCAGGCGGGTCTAGAACTCACAGAGATCCACCTGCCTCTGCCTTCTGAGTGCTGGGATTAAAGGCATGTGCCACTAACGCCCGGCCCCTTGACTCCTCTTAAAGTGCTCACTTCGCACTTTACAAAGAGGGAAACTAATAAACATAACATGGTGGATCATGCCTAGAATCACGTCATTAGAAGGCTGGGGTAGCTCCCTCTCTCTTCTCTGTTTCTGGTGGCTGAGCACTCACTCCCCTCTTTCCCCTCTCCTCTCTGCCCCGTTCTTGTCTCTTCTCCTCCCACCTGTAATAAACTTTGTGTTTAATGCAAAAAAAAAGAAGGCTGGGGTAAGAAGATTGCTTTGAGTCTGAGGCTAGCTTGGACTATACAGTGAATCCAGGCAAGCCTGATGGGCTACATAGTGGAATCCAATCTCAAAGAAAAGAGAAGGAAACTGGGACCCTGAGAAGGTGTGAAAAGAGAGCAACATAGACAATTTTTTTAAGTTTGCTAAGAATCTCCTTGAGATTTTTAGAAACGATTTATTTATTTATTATTATTATTTATTTATTTATTATGTACACGGTGTGCTGTCTGCATGTATGTCTACATGCCAGAAGATGGCACCAGATCCCATTATAGATAGTTTTTAAGTCACCATGTGGTTGCTAGGAAATTGAACTCAGAACCCCAGGAAGAGCAGTCTCTCTGGCCCAACATAGACAATTCTTAAAACCTGACCTGGAAAAAAACCAAGGTATGTGCAGAGTTGAGAGGGATTAGAAAAATAAATTTAACTCTTATCTATATTTTGTAAAAATAGGACCATGCTATCTAGCCTCACTGGGCTGGAATTTGCTATCTAATCTAGGCTGGCCTCACACTCACTGAGATCTGCCTGCTTCTGCCTCCTGAATACTGGGATTAAAGGCACACCTGCCTTCTCTACGTTTTTTAAGACAAGGTCTCACTGTAGCCTTGGAACTGATATGTCCACCAGGCTGCCCTTGAATTTACAGAGATCCACCTGTCTCTACTTTCTGAGGTGGTGGAATTAAAGATTTGCTCCACCAACCAAGCTAAATTTTACCTTTAAAAATATTGACGTATTTTACTTTACATGTGAGTGTTTTGCTTTCACATACATTTGTGCACTGTTGTGCAATATTTGTTTAACTAGGCGAAGATGTGTTACATTATTTCATGCTGCATTTGGTAACTATGTAAAGATGTGTTGCCTTTGCATTAATTAAATAAAATTAACCTGGGCTCAGAGAAGCAGGGTTAGCCACTGGTTGACAGGAAGTAGATGGGAGGAGCTTAGCATGGAATTTTTGTTGTTGTTGTTGTTGGGGCAGTGTGGAAAGGAGGGGCTTCCAGGGTCACCAGCTAAGAGAGAAACTTAACCTGTTGCTACTCTAACTCTCTGAGCGCCTATGTTTTCACCCTAGCTCTTGAGTTTTATTAGAATGATAGAGATTTAGTTAGAACTATCTTTAGCAGCAGCAACAGAGCCAGTGTCTGGGGGAACAGAATTGTCCCCTTAGAGGCTGGGCTGATAGTTTAAAGGGCAGCCACTGTGATGAGGGTAAAACAGTAGTGTGCCAAATGTATTCAGTGTCCAAGGAGGTCAGAAGTCGGCACTGAAGCTTCTGGAACTGGAATTGCAGATGGTTATTAGCCGCCATGTGGGTGCTGGGAACCAAACGTGGGTCCTCTGCAAGAGCAACGAAGTGCTCTTAACCAGTGAGCCATCTCTACAGCCCCCTAAAATTTATTTTAAGAGATTCATTTTTTTCCAGGCATAGTGACACATACCTTTAATCCCAGCAGTGTGGAGGCAGAGGCAGTCAGATTTCTATGAGTTCAAGGCCAGCCTGGACTGCATAGCAAGCCCCAGGCCAGCCAAGGTTGCTTAGCAAAATTCTGTCTCAATAAAACCTAAAAACAGATTATTTATTTATTTTTAAACTATGTGTGTATCTTTGTGCAGATATGTGCAGACACCTGGATGGCTAGAGGCATCTGTTACCTTGGATCTTAAGTAACAGGCAGTTGTGAGCCATCCAACTTGGGTGGGTGCTGGGAACCAAACTTGAGTCCTCTGCAAAAGAAGTATGCACTCTTGACTGGTGTGCCATTTCTCCAGTCCCAGCTTTCTGAATTTTTATAGATTAGCTGAAGGAAGCAAGCATGCTAGTATATACCTGTAATCCCAGCCCTGGGGAAGTGGAGGCACGAAGATAATGTGTTTGAACCTACCCTGGGCTATACATAGCACAACGACCTTGTCTCAAAAGTAGGGTGGCAGGCAGAGGCAGAGCACTATTTCACATGTGTGAAGTCTCCATATGAGGCTCTGGGTTTGATATCCATTACCATAGAGGTATGTTCTAACCTTCCTAATGTTACAGAAAGGGTATGTGTGCCTGACCCATTGCCCAGCTCCCAGCTCAAGGTCTACACTTACCCAAGTGTAGTCATGGTGACAATGGTATACCAGAAGGCAGCAGGGATGCTTGTAAAGTTGGTCTTGCTGGTGCCCTTCTCAGCATAGAACATGACAGTGGCAAAGATGATGATGGCCATGGTGAGGGAAAAGAGGAGAAAGCCCAGCTCAGAGGCACAGCTCTTGAGGGTATAGCCCAGAATCCTCAAGCCCTGGGAGTGTCTGGAGAACTTGAAGATTCTGAAGACCCGGAACACACGTAGGGTGACAAAGGCACCAGAGACATCATCATTCTTGGGCACAAAAAGCCCAATGTAGTAGGGCAGGATGGCTACCACATCAATGAGGCTCATCACGCTGCGCAAGAAGCGGCAACGGCTGGGGGCTGCAAAGAGCCGCAGAAGGTATTCCCCGGTGAATATGAGTACACAGGCTGTGTCCATACAGAAAAAGGCCATTGGGAAGCGGTCACCACAGGGCTGCTCTCTTGTGGGTCGCCGTGCAGAGCTACGGCATGGGATGGTCTCCACTACATTGGCGATGACTGACACAGCTATGAAAAACCCAGTCACATAGTAGAAAACGAGTGCTGCAGTGCTTGTGTGTGGGTTTTCGAAGGCCCTCCAGAGTCGCTGTCGCAGGGAGCTGCCTGCTGGAAGGGCTGGACCTTCCCCGGCCTGCTCGGCCTCCTCGTCTTCTGCCAGGCGCTCTGCATTCTCCTTCTTGCGGTCCCTGTATTCTTCAAGACAGCAGTCGCCCACAAGCTCTGGTACTAAGCCATAGAAAGCCAGCTCCTCGTCAAAGGCCTGGATGCACTCCTGCCTGGGACAGTGCAGCCGGCCTGTGCGATAGAAGTTCAGCACGTGCCGGAACATGTCTGGGTCACGATCAAAGAAGTACTCGCCTGATTCGGCATCATAGAAGAATTCCTTCTCTGAGCTGCCGAGCAATGTGTCTGGGTAACGATCCAGCGTGTTTTTCCAGGTCTCAAAGCGCCGACCACTTACATTCACCACCAGAACCTCATCCCCTCGGGATGCCTTCACCTCCGGTGCAGGGGGTAGGGGCTGCTGGGCTAAGGGTAGCCAGCCCACTGCTGCAGCCCTTGCAAATGGTAGCCATGTGGCCACACCTGCCGCCATCCTGCAGCTCCCCAGGCCCACGGAGACTTGGGAGTGTGATGTTTAGGAAAATGTGGCTATCTCCAGGATGGTGAAGGCTTGGAGAAACCCTGGGCTACCCAGACAAGGAAACCGGTGTGTGTGTGTGTGTGTGTGTGTGGTGTGTGTGTGTGTGTGTAGGGAGAGAGAGAGAGAGAGAGAGAGAGAGAGAGAGAGAGAGAGAGGAACCAGAAAGAAGAGGAACTAGAGAGACAGACAGGAGCTTGGCGGGTATGGGGGGGGTTCTAGGGTACTAAGAAGGGGTTAAAGTGCTATAAGAACCAAGAAGGGTCTTCAGATCTAGAAAGACATAGATGATTCTATAGGGGTCAGCACATTTCTGAGAGATGTTTGAGGGTGTCCAGTAGGACCAAGAAATAGGTAGGGAGTTGTTCACACTCTCAAGAGTTCCCAATAAAGGAGGGCCTGTAATCCCTCAGTTGAGTTGATGAGGAGACAGATTGGGACGTTCAGAGAGTTGGAGATGGGACCAGAGGTGTTTGAAAGATGCTGAAGGGCTGTCCACACCCAGAAGACTTATGGGGAAAGATACATGGGTTGGAGCCCCATTGCAGATCAGGAAAGGGGACTGGAACATCTCAAGGGTGGCTACGGAGCCAGGAGGTTGTAAAGATGCTAAAAAGTGTCTCAAGAGTGACTAGCACTGCCAAGAATAGCCGGGAAGATGTTGTCTACAATCTACAGTTCTGGGGAAGGCAGGAGAGGTGGGGGCCCTGTAATGAGGATTAAGAAAGGGGGATAGCAAAAGTGGTGTATGGGACTGGTTTATTTTGTTAAAAGACTGGGAGATATCCAGCAGAGGTTACCTGGAGGGGCTTAGGAAGCCTGGTTCATATCTGAAGAGCTCTGGGTAAGAAAAGGGGGGTCTGGGGAATCCCAAAGGGTGGATACGCAACTGGACTGAAGTTGGGTATAGCATACAAGGAACTCTCAAAAGATTATGCTAAGAGGGAGGGGATTCCCTCAAAATAGGTTGGATAGGGGGCGGGGTATTGGAAGAAAGTTGGGTGTGTCTTCCAGGAGAGGGGGCTGCTGAACCTTGCTGGAAGCTGGTGGTAAGGGAGACCACTAGAAGACTGGGTCCCACCGTTAGGGGCAGGTCTGGGGAAACCACACCCCCACCCCCCCTGGAGCTGGCGCTATGTAGCCAGCAACAGCAGTAGCAGGAGTGGGAGCAGCAGCAACAACAGCAGCAATAGCAGCAGCAGAAAAGGAGGAGGAAGAGAGCAGCCACAGCCAGGCCTAGGAGGGAAAGGTGGCACAGGCGGGGGCGGGGTGGGAGACAGGGGAGGAGGCTGCTGGGTCCTTGGAAGGAGGCTCTAGAAGGACAAGGTCCAGTGGGACCCCTGGAGACTGTTCCAGGATGGACTAGGGCATGGGGACCGGACCAGGAAAAGACAAGGACAGAGCTATTGATGGTCCCTTCCCTCTCCCCACAGGGCTGTCCTCACCTGTGTCCCCGCTGCAGCAGCAGCAACAGCGTTGGGGCTGGGGGTACCAAACACTGGAGATGCTGGCCCCTCTGCAGAGCTGCCGGAGTTCCTCCTCCTCCAGCGCTCTCTCCCCGCCCCTCTGGAGCTTGTCGGGAGATGAAGCGAGAGGCAGGGAGGGGCCACGTGCCTCCCAGAGCCCCCTCCCCTAGGACAGTTTGAGAGAGACCCTGGGGAGACTCCGCCTCCTTACAAAGCTGGTTGGGCCTCAGTCGCGTCGTCTGGAAAATGGGGGTGGCAGGGAACTTTGCCAGTTCTCACCAACTCCTGCTTCCTGGACTCCCCCTTCTTTCTGCCCAGTTCCTACCCCCACTGCCCCCAGGGGCCCTCACCCCCAGCAGTCTGAATCAGCAGCACTTAGCAGAACCAATCGATGGGGAGGCGTCTGTTAATGGCCCCAGAGCGGAGTGCCACGGGGAATGATGCAGTGCTGTGTCCCCTCCCTGCCCCCCTCCTGGCTGTGGAAGGGCGGGGAGAGGTGGGGGAGGGAAGATTGGTGGGGATGTTTCTCTAGATGACCAGACCTCCAGATCCACTGTGGGGTGGGAGGAGGGCATAGGTCAGAGCCCAACTTCTAAACCAGACTTTTATTGTAGGACTCTAGTATACACCTTCCAGTTTGGGGATGCAAGATGCAGAGATAATCCAGGTACCAGCTCTGCCCACAGGCCCTTGCCAAATGAGCAGGCTTCCCATCTGTCTGTATCCAACGCCCTGAAATCACACCTCTTTCCATGGTGGGCTCTGCTTCTATGTATCAGAACGCAGCATAGTGACTCTGGGATAAGTCTGTGAGTTCTAACCCCAGCATTGCCAGACTTGCTGTGTCCTTCATCAGGTGACTTGTTTCCTCAGTTATCAGAAAGAACTACCCCAACTTGACAGTGTCCTTTTTTTAACATTAACTGAAGTAATGTGAATGGGGTTGGCACAGGGATGGCCTGCCAGGATGCCTAATTTTAAGCAACTAACGGTGTGTGATGAGAGTGCAGTATGGTGAACTGCCCAGCCTTTCAATCCATGATAGTCACTTGCTTGCTTTTCATACTCCTTAGTTGTCCATTCTTTCACCCACCCATCCTCCTACCCACAAAACCAATGATTCTGCCCATTCCGCTACACACCCATCTGTCCATTTAGTCACCTCCCACTCATCTTCTAACCATTTGCCAACCTATCACTAAGTATCAATCCTCCATTCATCTACTCAAGAGCTTCACCTATCATGAATGCATCCAACTTGCCCTTCCCTTTCATTCACTTATACATACAGAATTCCACTCTAGCCATGTCAATTTACTCCCAACCTATCCATAAATGCAGCAATCTGCCCATAGAGTTAATCATCCACTTATCCATTTGTCCCCCATTTGCCCACCCCTCTAGACATCCATCTGTCCATTTATATCTCTATTTACCCCTACTCTATCCACTTACTGATTCACCTACTCATTTATTCATCCAGCCATGCATCCATCTACCTATGCATTTATTTTCAGCCATACCACTTCTTTATCCCTCGGTCCGTCTAACCACTTATCCATCCTCCCGACTGTTCATTCATCTACAGTCTCAATTTGATGCATATCCACCCACCCACATATCTGCAGATATTTCTGCTCTCCTCCCTTTGAGAGGTCTGTCAGGAAGCAGGTGAGGTGAGAGTGGAAGACGAAAAGCTACAGCCAGAGGTCACCTTCCCCATTCCAGTACAATGACCACCCCGCTCCCAGCACATCCCTCTTGATTGAAAAGAATGAGACCAGACAGTCAGTGGGTGGGCCCGTTTGGCCACATGGTATTTGGGCTGCATAGCCTTTACACACACACACTCACACACATACATACATTGCTAGAACACTAAGCATGGACTGCACCCCCACCCAGCATCCCCAATCCCAAATGCAGAGTAGCCAGGCTTCCAGACATAAATTAAAAAATAAAATAAAATAAAATGAAAAGAGTTGGTCTCTGGGAGGGAAAGCTCATGCAGAGTTGAAGGCAGATGCCCCTGGGAGCCAGGGCCAAGAAGAAAAAACATCCCTGCCCTTCCCTCAGGATCCTTCCTCCCCAAGGGCCTCTACCATATGATTGGGATCATCAACACCAGCAACAGATAGGCTTCTAACCCCCTTTAATGTCAATCTCCCAAACTATTAGATTTGGTGCCAGCCTCCACATTTTCCCACCACAGCCCAAGTGGCATTCTGGAATGGGGTGAAAGTAGGTGCAGCTTGTAGGTCTTAGTTGTCTTCTCCAGGTTCTAGGTCTGGGTCAGGGGACCCCACACATTCCTTGCTGAGCCGTACAATTTCCTGGGATAGAACTTCCATATCCTAAGAAACAAATGAGCCATCAGGAGCTAGAGAAGGGGAGGCAAGGGGCATGTCTGTTGGCAAATATGAGGTGCTATCTGTAGTTAGATGGACTGATGGGTTAACCAGTGCCCAGTGGTATCTGGCCTTGGATGGGAAGATCCACCACCTTCTCTTCTAACAAATGTGAGCTTGCTTCTCCAAAGCATAGGTATGACTCTCTTATTGATGGAGTATTTGGGTGGGGGTGGGTAAATTAATGTGTGGGTGGACCCATCAAGGATCTATGGCAGACAAATAGGTTCACAAATGAACTTTGTAGAGAACAAAAAGGTAGGTAGGCAAGTGATAAGTAGGTAAGTAAAGGGGGTAACTGATAAGTAGATGAAAGAATGATGCATCACTAGGTTCAGGACTTTAATCCCAGCACTTGGGGGACAGAGGCAGGCGGATCTCTGTGAGTTCGAGGCCAGCCTGGTCTCCAGAGCGAGTGCCAGGACAGCCTCCAAAGCTACACAGAGAAACCCTGTCTCAGAAAAAAAAAAAAAACCCAACAACAAAAGAGTGGAGCATCAAGAAACCGATGAAAGACTTGGAGACGATGGTTTGACAGATAGGCAGGAGGGTAGGTAGATGGATAAACGGTAAGTGAGCGCATATATGAATGGATGATTGGGTGGAAGAGCAGATGGGAGAGTGGTAAGTTGATTGGAGGACAGAAGAGGGGCACACAAAAGGGCAGCCGACGAATGGAAGGTGGTAGTTGGGAGGACACGGGCCCATTGGAAGGACACGGGCAGGGACTATGTGGGTAGGGAGGCAGGTGGTTGGAGGGACTGGTAGTCCACACTCGCCTTGTGCAAGTGCATATTCTTGGTGAGTTGCTCCTCCAACATGTTCTGCAGCTTCTTGTTCATTTCCCGAAGGTTCTCATCGCCTGGCTTCACTAGGTCTCTCAGGACACTGCCCAGCCCAGTTCGGTCTGTGTGGCCTGCTGCCACAGACACATCTGCAAGGGTCCAGGCTGAGCACCACCCTCTCGGCAAAGCCGGGGGTAGGGAATAGGAGAGAGTAGGCAGAGCCGAAGGAGAAAGGAGGAAAACAAAAGAGCAGGCAGGAAGGGAGGGAGAAAAGCGATGTTATGTTGGGGGCAGAGGCTTTGACATGTGAAACCCAGAGTTATGTGACTCAGAAAAATATGGGTAATTCCCAACTCATGTTGCTGGGAACATGTATATGACTGCATGTGACACACAGAGCACATAGTAAACCCTC